GGAAGGCAAGAGAGAAAGAGAGAGTGTAGAGAGTTCAGTACGAAGAAGGAAGGCAAGAGAGATAGAGAGAAAGAAAGAGTGTAGGGAATTCAGTAAGAAGTAGGAAGGCAAGAGAGATAGAGAGAAAGCGAAAGTGTAGAGAATTCAATAAGAAGAAGGAAGGCATGATATACAGGTGAGATAGAGAGAAGGAGAGAATGTAGAGAAGATGACAAAGGGAGACAGAGAAAGACATGGTGATAGTTACACAAAATGATAAAATTAAATTTAAAAAACCAAATGGAAGAGAGTGAGAGAAGAGAAAGAAAAACGATAAAGGAATAAAGAAAGAGCAGAAGAGAGAAAAAGACAGAGTGAGAGATAGATAGAGAAAGAGAGACAGAGAGAGAGAAAGAAAGAGAGAGAGAGATAGTATAACGGACATTAAAGGTAGATGGGAAAAATTAAAAAGTAAATTGCATTCTTTAAAGGAATCAGTTACAATTAAGTTGATTGGAGACGCAGTATGCGTGTATGTGTGTGTGTGTGTGTGTGGGGGGAGGGGGGGGGGGAGGGGGTTAGGTTGAAAATGATGACGATGACGAAGATGATGGCGGTGATGGTGATGATGACGATATTTTAGTACGCCATAACAGTTGGCGTGAAAATGAGTGATTCTTATCATTGAAACTACCATCATTATCAGTACAATCATTATCATCATCGCCATCCTCATCATCACCACTGCCATCATTATCATCAACGATTTCGAGATTATTGTCTGGTTATCTTCAAGACGTTGTGTGAAATTTTATTGACTTCCGGGCTAAGATGTTCATTCATCCGTCCATCAATCCATCCGTCGTTCTTTCATTCGTTCGTTCATTCATTCATTTATTCATCTATTCATTCATTCATTCATTTATTCATTCATTCATTTTTTCATTCATTCACTCATTCATTCACAGTAAATGAATAAGCATATGATTAAACATACAAGTTAACAAATGAACATATGAATGCGTGTATGAATGAAATGAACAAATGAAAAAAATTGATTGTATAAATGAATGAACGAACAAACGAACTAACTAACGGAAATAAAAGTAACAATTGAAAGAATAAAATGATGGATGGATGGAAGGATGGTGCCGCAAATAAAAGATGAAAGAAGATGGGTGGAAGATGATGTCAATACCTTTTTAACCTCAATTAACTAACACGACCCATATACATACATACATATATATACACATACATACATACATACATACATACATATATATACACATACATAAATACATACAAACAAACATACATACAAACATACATACATACATACAAACATACATACATACATACGGACATACATACAAACATTCGCACAAACAAACAAAGCTCAAAATCAATTAATCATCGTAGATACAAACCGCTATGGGATTGGCGCAAGATTGTTACTTAACAGATAATAAGGATTGAAATGAAGAGGATGATGATGATGATGATGAAGATAGTGATGGTTATGATTATAGTGATGAATATGATGATGATGGTGGTGGTGGTGGTGGTGATGATACTGTTGTTGACGGTAATGGAAAAAATTCACCTCAAATAAAATTAACCTCATCATCATCATCGTGACCACCATCATCATTATCAGTACTATTCCTAGAATCATTATCATAACCATCATCGTCATCATCATCTTCTTCTTCTTCATCATTTTGAAAAATCTTTCGAAATGTTAATTGTTTTATTCATCAATTAATTTTTGCATCTTACGGTCCTTCCATCCATCTATCCATCCATTTATCTATTTATTCATTTATTAACTTTTTCATTCACTCACCCTTTCATTCTTTTATTCACTCACTCTTTCATTCTTTTATTCACTCACTCATTCAGTCAGTCAGCCATCAAAGGCATCCAGAATGTGTATAATTTATTTGCCCCAGCGTAATAAACAGGTGTAGAAGCCAAAACAATGTTTGTTTTCAAACATACAAACAAACAGAAAAACAAACAAACAAACATACAAACATACCTACATGCATACATACATACATACATACATACATACATACATACATACATACATACATACATACATACATACATACATACATACATACATACATACATACATACATACATAAATACTTACGTACGTACATACACAAACAAACAAACACACACAGAAACACATATGCACATACATACACACACACACATACATAGACATACATACTCAATATACATACATAAACAAAAAAAAACATACCATTTTTCTCACAATGTTTTTACATTTTTTGGAAAGCTTATTTACAATCTTTTGAAATGTTTTCCTATGCCGGAAGTAGATGTATAATTCAAAATGTCGGTACCTAAACGAGAGAAGATAAATAATTTACTTGTCTGTGATGTCTATGTTTAGAATGTTTTCAAAACATTTTTTTTTCTTTGTTTTTTTCCAGTTTTTTAAATATTTTTATATTTTATTCTTTTTTTCAGGCAAATAATTTATGTTATTGCATTAATTAGTTAGCTAGGTTATAATTATTTAATTACATTATCAGCATCTTCATTATTATTATTAATATTGTTGTATTGTATGTGTGCTAGTATGTGTGTATATGTGTGTGTGTTAACTTACTGGGTGTTTGTTTTTTATGAGTTTGTACGTGAGTTATGTTTTATTATTATTTTAATTATTATTATTATTATTAGTAGTAGTAGTAGTAGTAGCAGCAGCAGTAGTAGTAGTAGTAGCAGTAGTAGTAGTAGTATCAGTAGTAGTAGTAGTAGTAGTAGTAGTAGAAGTAGTAGTAGTAGTAG